AAACCCCATGGACGGTCTATGAAACGTATAGGTATATTGTGATATGAAATCCTGTGGACGGTCTATGAAACACATAGGTGCATTGTATATGGAATCCTGTGTACGGTCTATGAAACTCATAGGTGCATTGTATATGGAATCATGTGGACAATTTATGAAGCGCATATGTGCATTGTATATGGAATCCTATGGACGGTCTATGAACGCATAGGTGTATTGTGTATGAAATGCATAGGTGTATAATATGATATGTGAACACTAAGGATGGTCTATGAAATATATATGGGCGTAAAATAAGAGAGGGATATGGACGATCTAGTGAGACGCATTATTAATGCAGACAATAGGTTCCACTTTCATTGGCGTTGTTTGTACATGTTGTTTCAATTACATTACATTATGTATTCCACGTATAGTTCGCATGGCTCAGTTGATCCCAAAAGAGGTTTAAAATAATGTACGTATAATAAGACTTGAAATTTGAATTTATGTGATGTTTCGTAGTTCCTTGATGTCCTTTATTTACCTCTTATTTGAGTTACCATATTTTCATATGTTGTTCTGTCTGCCTTACATACGAGTACTATTCCACATGTACTCACATCCCTTTTGCCGGGAGCGCTGCATCTTTTAATGGATACAGGTGGTTCCATAGTAGGCGGCATCGATCAGTGATAGCAGTCCATCCTCTCTCAGCTGACTTGGTGAGCCCCACTTCATATCGGGGTTATGTATCTTTTTTTCTCATGTATTGTGTTTTAAGGTATAGCCGGGGCCTTATTGCCCGCACTATCCTAGTACTTTGTTGTACCAGTTAGAGGCTCTGTAGACATGGTGTGGGTTGTACGTTGGTATTGGGAAGGTCAAACTAATGATGTTGTAATTGTATCACATGTTCCATTTCTAAACTATAAATGTGTAATGTAACATTTTGGGGACTTATGAATGAAGTAGCTAATAGTAATGGATTGATGTTGTATACACGATCTCCTTAATATCTTATTGATGAAAATATATCTTCTCGTTATTCATGGGTAAGTTTGGGTAGAAGGCATCTAGTAGGCTTGCTCGCCTGGGTTCACTCGGTTGAGCGCCGGTCGCGCTTCCCGAGTTCGGGGCGTGACAGTTGTGACCCAACTCTAGTGTGTAAACTTAATGGGTGTTTGATTTAATGGTTGTTTATGGTTGGGTGTTTATTATTTAGCCTTGTTCTTGCTTTTATTTGTGGAATTAATGGTTGCAAATATTAGTTCATACCTATTTGACTTGGTCTCTACTTGAGAAAGAGAGACTTAGTCTAGGAAAACTTGGCTAACAAGAAATTGGGTAAATCGAGAGATTGATAATCCCAATTAAAGGGTTTAACCTAGAGATAGTAATAACCCGACTTGAACTTTTATCAATCGTTTTGTTCAATACCCATTTGGGCTTGAGAAAGCCAAATTGGGCAAAATCACTCTCTAACCGAGAGGTATTGAGTATTGATAGCTATAATACATCTCGATCAATAAAACAAGCATTAAGGTTTATATCTCATTAGGCAAATACCTAGGTGAAGGTCATAGCCCTAGGCTTTTTACAACATTTGAAAAACAACTAAAACAATCTCTTAGTTTTATTTACCAACTTGCAATTATAGTTTTAAATTAGACTTTAAAACAACCTCATTTCGTGGAAGAGTAAACTTAGATATTCAAACTCTCACGCTATGATATATACTACTAACTCCCATCTATAGCTCCCTGCGGAATTCGACCCCGACTCTTGTTGGGTATTATTATTGCATCGACCGTTTTCATAACCTTGAATTGAGGTATGAATTTGGACGAGATCAATTTTTGAGAAAGCCCAAATGAGTATAATCACTCTCTGACCGAGAGGTATTGAGTGGGTAATTGAGTGTTGAAAGCTATAATATACCCCGATCAATAAAATAAGCATTAAGGTTTATATCTCATTAGGAAAACACTTAGGTGAAGGTCATAGCCCTAGGCTCTTTACAACATTTGAAAAACAACAAAAACAATCTCTTAGTTTTATTTCCCAACTTGCAGTTGTAGTTTTAAATTAGACTTTAAAATAACCTCATTTTGTGGAAGAGTAAACTTAGATATTCAAACTCTCACGCTATGATATATACTACTAACTCCCATCTATAGCTCCCTGCGAAATTCGACCCCAACTCTTGTTGGGTATTATTATTACATCGACCGTTTTCATAACCTTGAATTGGATGAGCTCAGAGGCGACCATTCTTCAATAATGTTTCCACTTCTTCTCGGAGGTGTCGACAGTCCCCTGTCCAGTGTCCATTCGTCCCGGGTATTCACACCACAAGTTTGGATCCCTCCGGTTGGGATCAGATCTCATCGGTTTCAGGAACCGTGCTTCTTTGATATTTCTCATGGCCAACACTAACTCCACTATACTGACGTTGAAGTTGTATTCCGATAACTTAGGTAATAAGGATCCCGTGACCCTGAAGCTTCTTTATCTTGCAATGATCGATTGTTCCGACCGTGATCAGTCCTCTTGTCAATGGCGAACTTGTCCACTGTCCGAAAACCTCTACTGCGGCCTTCGGTCCATTCGTATGGCAAAAACCGACCCCTCGAAGTTCGCATTTCCACATCACAATCATCCTTTGATTATTCTATGTTCTTTTCTCATCCTTTGGTCGATGATGGAAAACCAACCTGATCATCTTCGATCCTTATTTTTTATTCGTACCGGTTGTGGATATCCACCCAGGTCGTTGCTTGAAACTCGAGTAGGCTTTCCTTTAATTTCTGGAAAGCATCTGAACTTCTCGGTTTCAATCCTTTGGTGAATGCTTTAGTCGCCCATTCATCCGGGACTGCCACGAGCAACATTCTCTACTTATGGAATCAGGTAACGAACTCTCATAGCAGCTCAGACTCTCCTTGAGCAATCCTGAATATGTCGGCCTTTCGGGCCTGTACTTTTCTAGCCTTGGCATGAGCCTTGATGAAAGAATCCGAGAGCATTTCAAAAGAGTCTATGGAATGCTCGGGTAACAACGAATATCACGTCAAGGCTCCCCTCATGATGGTTTCTCCAAATATCTTTAGCAGCACAAATTCAATTTCGTGAGGAGCTAAATTATTTTCCTTTATCGCAGTTGTGTAGGCGGTAATATGCTCCTGGGGGTCTGAAGTTTCGTCATACTTTGGCACTTCAGGCATTTTGAACCGCTTCGGGATTAACTCTGGTGCTGCACTTGGCTTGTATGACAATTGAGTATACTTTTCGAGTCTAGACCTTTCAGCACTGGTAGCGCGCTTGGGATCTAGTCCATACGGGCATTCACTTTCCTCATAAACCGTAAAAGTTCATTCTTGAAAGGATCATTCTCGTTATTGAGGCCGGATCCGCTCCCCCTGCCCCATCAGAGCCAATTTCACCCCTGGGAGTATTGTTGTCGACCCTCTATGGTGTTTGATTAGCGGGAGCCCCGGGAGGAATCAGATCTCGTCTGTTTGCATTATTTGAAGCTCCCGACATCGCCTGCCCCAACTCCGTCACAACCTTATCCTGTCACGTGAGGTGGCCTAGAATGATTGTTTGTTGCTCTTGCAAGACCCTTACCGTGTCAACAACATGTTCCTCATCAGCATCATCGGGAGTTGTCTCCCGATCATTGGAGGATATTGCTTGTCATGCACCGGTGTGGCGTCATTCCCCTCATTGTGGGTGTCACTGATTGAGTCCTCAAAATGAGGTTGATCCCCTCGAATCTCGGGGTTGTGCATGTTGTTAACAGTGTTATCTGCCATTTCTTATGATTTTTTCTAAGACAAAATAATCAAAACACGTTAGTAAAAAAGGCAATGATCAATTTAATTAAACGGTTGTCTAGGCCCCACGGTGGGCGCCAAACTGTTTACCCGTAAAATGATATAGTTAAATTTATACGTAGTTTCTAGACAAATAAATTAATTTGATCCTGAAATAATAAAATAATCGAAGAATTATACAATACTTAGCCTTAGGATGTAGACGAAACATTAGAAGCAACAGTTCCGGGAACAGGGTTTCCAGGAACAACAACAACGAAATCAAAAAGTAAGAAGATAAGATGGTATTAAGCTTTATATAGAATGTAGCGTAAATTTGCTAGAAAAATCAACCCATTTATAATGATAATTGAGCTCACTATTTATAGTTATGTCTAGGGAATGAGGTCCTAGGATCGTGTCCTTCTTTAATGTCAATTATGAGGGACATTGATGAAGATGTAACTGTGAACATAAATGCCAAATTTCATGTAACGGGTAATTGCTCTTAATTCCATGGAATATTCTCTATTAAAGACTACCGGGCGAAGAGCATTTATCACATATTTATGAACGTTATACTTTCCGGTGACAAACGAAACAGTTGCCTTCGGTCTTTGGCGATCCCCCGTCTTGAATTTCGCGTGTTTTTTTTTTTACGGCCACATGTTATATCATATTTTACCCTATACACCAAACAATACCATATATAAAATAGAATGGAGTGATTATCAATGTAGTGTTGTGGGATGTTGTTTAATGATAGCCCAATTTCTTTTCTTTTTTTTGCATTAGCCGTGAAGTTCAATTGAACATAGCACCTTATTATTCTATTTTGTTAGATCTTGATTATATTAGAATGTATGGAAAGTCATATGTCTATATAAATCAACTTAATCTCATAGTGTAAAAAATTCAATGCACTGTTAGTACACGAAGATACTCCGTTAGATATGGTAATATATTACCTCTATCTTTCATAATTTGTTATACAATGAAGTCAAATTTGAACAGAGAGTTGAGAAGGCAGTGATTTGGCTGAATATATGCAGTGATTTATTAATAGAGTGGACAAGTAAAAGTGATAAAAAATGAACTGAGAAAATAGAAATAACTTAATAAATTATAATTTGTATTTATTATATTTTTAATGGAAGTTAGAAGAACGGAAGCAATAGTTTAAATGAGACGGATGGAGAATATGGTGAGGTAGAGATGCATTAATGTCCCGAGTGAAATACAGGTAACAGAACGAATCACAACTCTTATGGAGTATTAAATACTCGTGTCTATCTCTCTCTCACAGCTTTCTTGATTTGTATACACTCACATTCAAAGCTAACTGCATCACATCTTCCAAATTCCCACCTATCTTTCTCTCTCTCTCTCTCGTTCATTCCCTTTTTGTTCTCCTTTAATGTAATTACCATTTCTCAGCTCCCTTCTCACAAATAGCAAAAAACAAGACACAACAAAAGAGGAAAAGAACAAATGGAGGGGGTATCAACGAGGGTGTACAGTGGATTAAAGGGCTACTGGAAAAGGAGGGGCTATAAGAAGCTGAACCGGAAGAACCGGCCGGTTGAATTATCAGCAGAAGGTTCGAATTCGAACCGGAAGAGAAGGTTCTGGAAGATAAAATTGACGCTGCCAAAATTAAAGCTGAAGCTCAATTTTCGACGGTTTTCTATTAAGAAGCTTCTAATTGGGTTGCGGGATGCTTATGTGAACATGATGCTAAGGGTAGCTAACACCCGCGGGCTCGGCGGCGGTTACGGCGGCGATTACGGCGGCGTCGCCGGATTTGGGATGCGGCCGATTAAGGAGTACGATGAGAAGGTACTGGTGGAGATCTATAAGTCAATGATGGCTAAAGGAATAATAGTCCCCCGTGATGTTGCTGCATCTGCCAGTGCCAAAATTGGCCCTGAGATTATCTGTCAACGGTAATTAATCTTATTTAAAGATAAGATTATCCTGAGATTTAATATAACTACATTCAGAATTCGTCTTCTCTTATAAGGTTTTGTTCCTTACTTTTTTTTTTTAAAATGAGGTAAACTTATTTTCCTGGTAATTAAATTCTTGCAATCCGGAAAAATGTGTTGTAGATTGTAATTTGTAACATTATGAGGTCAGAGATCTAGGGCAGTTTTCCCTCATGATTTAGAAGAGTTAAATTGCGTTTAACTTTTATGTATGTAAAATAAATTGAATAAATTTCATGGTTGATCATTCAACCTTGTATTCATCACACAAAAGTTACTTTTTTTTTGTTATATAAAAATATTCAACTTTGTGTTCATTACCTAAAAATTACTTTTCTTTCTTTTGTTACACAAAAAAAATTTTCACCCATGCTCTATTTATCACAAAAGTCACTTTGACCAGCTTTTATAATACTTTTACTTGAAAAGTCTATTATGCCATTGACATTATATATCTTTACTTATAATTAAAATAACTTTAAATTATTTTATTTATTATTTTTATAATATATCCATACATTTAATTTTTTCACAGCACTCAATTTGTTTAATCATATTTAAACATGAACATATTTTAAAAATAAAAACCATAAAATATCTATTTTTAATATTTATTTGAAATAATAACAAACAGATTTGTCTAACAAATGGTAGTTTTTTTTATAGTCAATACAAAATTTTAAAAAAAAATTCAAAGATATTTGTGTTTAATATTAAGATTTGTAAAGTTCTATCTATTAATATTATTTATTTGAAAGTAATAATATGAAGTGTCATTATGCTAAATATGAGTATTTTATTTATTGGATTAATGGGTATGGCTTGGCTGATAAATTAGTGAGCTTTGATTTTATAATTTTCATTAAAAATATTTCATTAAGCACGGTTAAGAATGTGGACTTGAGATTTATTCACGGTAATATTACTGACAAATTTAATAATGCTACTTATATATCTTGAAAATTAACGTTAAGAAAAAATTATTAAATATATACAAATAATAAATTTTAGACTCATTAAATTAGATAAGATGAGGTAGAATTACGAATCTGAACCCATAAAGTTCAAATTCTCGATCTGCCTTTGTAGTCAGGTGTACAAAGCACCGCATATTTATGCAAATTTGGGGCAGGGGCAGCTCTAACGGCTTGGGCAGTGAGGTAGTCGCCTTAGGCCCCCAAAAANGTAAAAGTATATTATATAGCATATAATATAGAAGGTATTACATAAATGAGATGATTTATAATATAAAGGGCATAATAGACTTTTCAGGTGATAGATTTGTAAAATCTGGTCAAAGTGATTATTATGATAACTATAGCATAGTCAAATGATTTTTGTGTAACAAAAGAAAGAAAAATAATTTTTGGGTAATGAACATAAAGTTGAATGACTTTTACGTAACAAAAGAAAGAAAAATGACTTTTGGGTAATGAACACAAAGTTGAATGATCACCAATGAAATTTACTCAAAATAAATTATACTATCTGCGTATCTAGACATTTATGGTACAAGTAATTTTTCATAATAAGTGTAATTAATAACCTAATAACAATGTAAACAACTTAGCAATAACAGATTAAATTATATTGATAATATATTTTATCAGCTATATAAGTTAAATATTTTTTATTTAGTTTATATAGCAATATAATATTACCGCAAGATGGACAAACATAATGGTAAGCCTGGCTAGTAATTCTTTACATTGATGAGACTGCAGTATAAAGAAGAAAGTATATCGTTATAGGAAATCTAGCATTAGTAATCTAGAATAGGGTTGGTATCCATTAAATCATTAATGAAATAAGCAACAAACCAACTAAGTAATATCTATCTATCTATTTATGGCATGATTAATTGTCAAATTCGTTTTTTAAGCCTAAAACATGTAGAACTGCTAGTCTAGAATACGATCGATCACAAAATTTAAGATATGAGTGACGAATATCTTGGTTCAGATGAACCAACAATTGTTTGACTTTTCGGAAGTGGTGCACTTTGTGCTTCATTCATGATGCGCCGCTTCTTTTGGTGAAGCCGTAAAGCTACAGAGTATATTTCTGATAGGTGGAAGAATTAAGGGAGAATTACACAAAAATACAGTCCACTCACATATATATTGCAACACCATAACCAAGTTACAACTTTGCAAATATGTAGCCCACTAATAATAGGTCAAAGTTCGAAAAATAAGCATTTTTCTTATTATTTTTTTATTCAACAGATCTTCAAGCACGAAAATTGGGTGATTTTTTATTCTTCTTCCCCAAGTTTGTATATATTCTTATTCCATCTACAAAAAAAGCAAATTAATATATAATGCAACTCGAGAACCTTAAATTTTCTTCTTTTTCAAGTTTTAAATAGCAAATATAAATATAAAAATTGAAAATATTGTTGCACATGATTTGGAAGATAAATCAACAAAGAAAGTCGATTTATACATAGATTGTTCTAGAAAAAATAAAAATTGAACATATGAAAATTTTAATTTTAGATTAAACTGCACATGTACATTACATGTATAATTATGTATAACTTTGTATAAACTTGTATATACAATCTCTAATAATGTATACCAGAAAAATAAGACAAAGAAGAAAAAGAAAAGAAAGGGTCAAGCTTCCATGGATGCCTATTATACACGTACAATGTATATACACACTTATACATTAAAAACATAGATAATTTATATAACATTGTATGCAGATATACACACTTATACAACTTTATACAATATATAAGTGTGTATAAACATTACCCATACAATATTTACACTAGAAAATACCTTATGTCCATCACTACATTGTAGTTTTGGGTAGTTGTTGATGTTGAATTTTTCCGGCGAGGTTTTGGCATTCAAATCTGGGCTTCACCAGTAGTAAAGGATGATACAAAACTGAGAAAAATAAGAAAATATGAGACAAGGTCATCAGATATGCTCTTTTAGGAAAGATCTAATAGTTTTAGGTAAGATCTAATAGTTTTTGGACTGATAGGCTAAATTTATTGTGATTTCTTAACCTCTTTTCGTCAATTAACTCAAAATTCGAAACCCAATTGACATATAATGTGAGGATTAAAGAGCCCTTGTGCTCAAAAGATATTAACACAAAGTGTGTACAAAATAATACTTTAAGTTTTAGGGAGAAAGAAGAGAGACGCGAGTGGAGAGAGATTGAGTATGCTGGGAAAGAAGAAAGAAGAAAAGAAAAAGAAACCTAGAAGTGTGTCTTTAATAATGGGCTAAATGCTGAAAAGTTTCTTTCAAATTATATACAATATGGGCCAAACCAGGTAAGGACTTCAAACCTAGGCCATTTTCGGTAGGACTGTTGGGCCAAGTGACAAGAGCTATAATTCTTCTGAGAATTAATGGCGTCAAATTATTGCTAACTCCGAATTCAATGAAATAATTCCGCATCTAATCTCGAGATTGTATGGGATAAAATATGTTATATTAAATGATCGCATAAGGAAGCGACACGTGGAGCCGAAGACAGAGGATAGCTAAAATCGAAGGCAACTATCCTGCATGTTGCCGGGGAGAATGATACTCATAAAGATTAAATAAATACTTTCCACCCGCTAGCATTTAATGAAGAATATTCCACAACATTAAGTACATTGCCTATTACAAAGAATATGGCATTCATGCTCGCCATTACACATTTTTCAATGGCCCTCATAATTAACATTAAAGAAGGGCTTGATCCTTGGACCTTGTTCCCTAGGTACAGTTATAAATAGTTAGCTCTATTATCATTGTAAAAGGCATGAATTTTCTGACAAACATAAGCTACATTCTATTCAAAGCTTAATATAATTTTATCTTCTTATTTTTCGATTTTATTGTTGTTGTATCCGGAAGTCCTGCTCCCGGAACTATTATTTCTGCTATTTCGTCTCCATCTCAAGGCTAAGTATTGCATATTTATATATAAAATTCATCTATTATTTCAGGATCAAATTAATTCACGTGTCTAGAAATCACGTATAAATTCAACTGTACCATTTTACGGGTAAACAGTTTAGTGCCCACCGTGGGGCCTAGACAGTCATGTAATTAAGTTGGTCCTTGCCTCTTTTACTAACGTGTTTTGATTATTTGTTCTTAGCAAAGAATCATAGAAAATGACAGATAATGGTGTTAACAGCACACACAATCTTAAGGCCCAAGAAAACCAGCCTCAGCATGAGGATTCAATCAGTGATACCCGCAATGAGGGGACTGATTCCACGCCAATCCACGACAGGCGGTACCCCCGACATGTTCGGAATGCGACTCCTGATGATGCTAAAGAGGAGCATGTCGTTGAAGCGGTAAGGGTCCTTCGATTCTTCGGTATTCGGTACGTTCTTCAGTATTAATAAATTATTTTGGTACTTCGGTACAGTCATCGATATTAGGGTATTGGTATTTCGGTATACCGAAATACCGAACTTTTTAAGTATACCGTATAACTATATAGGTTAAGACTTAAGTAGCCTAACTAAAATTGAGACCAACGGAGCCCAAGTGCCCAAGTAGTGCCCAACCCAAGTCTTATTTCTTTACCTTAGATTTTTTACTCTAGCTTTCTTATATTTCTCAAACAGACTTCAACGAGTTCAAAGTTCAATCTTCAGCCGACACCTTTTCCTCTCTTATTCTCCATTTTACTGACTCAGTGTAACTCTCTCTTCACTCCTCTCTTACACAGTACTACATTAGAAATAAAATTTGTTCTTTTCCTTTAGAATCTTTATAAAATGATAAATTTTAAGCTTATTCATACATCAGAATCATATTGCTGGAGTAATAATCAATATTTTAATTTGAGATTGAATATAGGCATGTCTCCCCGATTTCTTGGATTATTTGAACGAACACATTTGTTCAGGGAATTCCTAACTAGAACCGAGCAAAAACTTTGGGAAATTTGACTCTATTACTCGATTTTTTTGCTGGTACTTGCGGAAAAAATGTTATTCTCTCCGTTTCAATTTAGACGAGTTAGTTTGACTCAGCACAGTTTAAGAAAAAAAAGACTTTTGAAACTTGTGATCTTAAAAACTTAAGAGGTAAAAGCTTTGTGGGGCCATGACATTTGTGTGGTTATAAAAGTTTCTCATGAAAAGTTTAAAGTTGAATTATTTCTAAATTTAAAAATGTGTCATTTATTTTGGAACAGACTAAAAAGAAAAGTATCTCGTCCAATCTGAAACGGAGGAAATACTTTTTATGTTTCTGTTTTACATTTGGCCTGACAAAGGATAAAAGA